AGACCGGGCGATAATTGGCCAACTCATCTGGGTCCAGGGAAGGCTTCTTGAGGAGGGGCCTCACAACGGCCTCTTTAAGGGCCGCAGGGAAGACACCCTCCTGCAAGGAAGCGTTAATAATTCCCTGGAGCCAGGCTCGTGTACCCTCCCGAGCTGCCAGTACCAGCCAGGAGGGACACGGATCTAACAAGCATGTGGTAGAACTCACACTGAAGAGGATGAAGAAAGCAGTCACTGTAAATAACTATTGGGTTAAAGTTAATTAACAGCGTAGCCAAATAAAAAGGCGCTTCATATTTTCATATTTTCAGAAAGGCACCTTTTCCCATAACCATCTGCCACAACACCCTTCAGCCAGGAATACAGGGGCTACAAACACTTCCCGGAAACGGAAGATGGAGGGAGGAGAAAGCTTCAACAAGTAAGTTGAAGTAAAGCCATTTAACATATCTTCCCTGAACACAACTCTAAGCCAAAGCCAACCAACCGTAATGCATTAGCACACCCAGCAAGCAGATTGGGAGTTATCCCGATCAGGTTCCAAAGAAGAAGAAACGAGGCATGGCGTCTTATTAAACCCAATCAAACCGCCCCTCCTAAGGCCTCACCCGTCCCTCCTCCTCGATCGCTACCGGCCCCGCCGGCCTCGCTATCAGACTCGGGCTCGGAATCTTCCGCATAAACCGCCAAGGAAGATAGAACGCTTTTTTTCGCCGCCGCCGCCATCTTCCTTCTCGAACTCTGTTGAATTCTCTTCCGGCGCAAGAATATGACGTCAGCGAAGCGCTCGCCGGACCTACCGTCTTTCTTTACGGGCCCGCGATAGCCGCGGACTGATTTTTCCAAGGTATCTCCTTCGCTCAGAGTGGAGGAATTCGTGTACTGCTGGTACTGCTGGGTCTCGTTCGAAACAGACGAAAAGAAGAGCATTTTCCCCCCAGAGTCCCGGCTCTTCAACGACCTCTTACGTCATCAAGTCGCGCTGAAGCGATGCCGAAGTCCCAGATACTGCCGGAAAATGAAGCCGTCTGAATTAACCGGGATTCTGGCAGCGGCTGCGCCTGCACTATGAGGCCTATGGCTCAAGAATATAGTTTCAGAGAGCTGGGAAGGAAGGAAGCATAATAGTTAGTTTGTGGATGCACTAAGATGTTTCGCCGCGGGGCCGCGGTCTCCGGTTTCGGCTTTCCTCAGATGGAAAAGGTTGGAGTGGCTTTACCTGGAGATTATTTTTATCCCGCCGATTTTTAATCTCTATCTCCGGACAAGGATCTGAACTTTTCATCGTACCTCTTAAACCTGCTAGATTTTCTCTGGCCGATCTGCGTCAGAAAGTAATTTAAGAAAAGCGATAATAAGAAAGTCAGGAAATGTAAATTGGTCTCGGAGTTAGGTGTCGGTTAAATAGCAATTTGTTCTCCAAGCCCATCTTTCCCGAAGGCTAAATATTATATCGTGCGAAATTAAAAGATGCGTTTTGTGGAGCGTTTTCTGGAGACTAACCTAAAAAAGCTAAGCAGAGTTGGCTTAGTACTTGCATGAACACTACTGATTTATCCCAAAACTATCGCCTAAACTGGGAATAAGAAAAACATCCTGAAGCACATCTACTTCCCTATTGCTTGGAAAATCGAATGGCATTGAGCTCCACGAGAAGGAAACGAAGGTTGGGACACAGGGAGCTGTAATAGAAGTAGTACGTATAAAATAGTAATCTGCATTCCGAAAAAGCAAGAAAATAGTTACATTTCTTGTGCCTAGGTTCTTTTAGTCTCTGGATTATAATCCAATGTATTTATAGTTTTGCTTTTTTTATAGGATAATGAATAGCAAGAACTCTTTTGTATTTTACTAAATCGGAGAATGGTGATGGTTGTGTAAAAACCATAAAGAAGATAGTATTATTGAAATAAATCTGTTATGCCTATACAGGTGATGGTTTGCAAGAAAAGAAGATAATTGCATGAAGGTTCTCTCTTTACCTCTACTTTGAATTATTCCTAGTATTGGCTTTTAAGATGAGTAACAGTTCTTCCTCAAGATTGGAAGATAGAGTTCTGCAAACTCTGACAAACGTTTTTGGATTTAACTCTTTCAAGACTTCATTGCAAGGAAGTGCAACTATGACTGTGGTAAAAGGTAAACTGCAAGTACTTTTTATGACCGTATAAAATATTTTTAACATGTCATTCAAAGATTCCCAGCTTCCCAAAATATGGCAAGTATAACATTCTATTCCCTGCAACAATAAGAGTAAAACATACAGTGAAAAAGCTCTGAATATTATAAAATACTTTTTTCTACTGCTGAAAATACAGAAAGTCTTTTAGGTTCATTATTTCATTATTACAATTGGAGATTTTCCTAGACTATTTCTTAAGATGAGTAATTGATCTTGGCCAAATCTGTAGTAAAAATTGATTTATCTGGGAATAAACCCCATTAAACAGACTGTTTTCTAAGGAAATGAATTGTCAGTTCCAAAGATGCTAGGCATGTCCGGGCAGGATGCGTCACGCCAAAACCACGCCCACCCCATTGCTGGAATTGGGAAAGTTGGGATACATCGCGCGACGTCACGTGATGTCACGAGTTTGACGTGCCTGATTTAGAGAATGCTTGGCTGGTGATGGATTTTACATCAGTTTGGATGATGCTGACTTAGCTTCGTAAACTGAGATGTGATTTACTACTATCTATACTGAAAGTTTTCAGTTAACAGTAATTTCCCAATACATCCAAACTGAAGAGCTATGGACTGGAGTCAGATTTGGTCACCTAGAATGGAAATAAAATAAAATAAATCAAATAGAACTGTACAAGTAGTCCTCAACCTATGACCACATCGAGTCCAAAATTTATATTGTTAAGAGAAAAAATTGTTAGGTACTTTTTGCCCCATTTTACAACTTTTCTTGCCACATTGTTAAGTGAATCATTGAAGCTAAATTAGTAACACGGTTGTTAAGTAAATCTGGCTTCCCCATGGTCTTTGCTTATCAGAAGATTGCAAAAGATGATCACATGATCCCAGGACACTGCAACCATCATAAATATGAACCAGCTGTCAAGCATCCAAATAGAAATCGATCACCAGGCATGCTGCAATGGTCGTAAGTGTGAAAAATAGTCATGTCACTTTTTTCAGTACTGTTGTAACTTTGAATGGTCATTAAATGAACTGCTGTAAGTTGAGGACTACCTGTAAGTCATGCCTATTTTTCTGACCCAAAAAATGAATCATTTCACCTTAATCCAACAAATCAACATTAGTCCTGTGCTACTATTGACTGGGAAACCTAGCACCTCTAGTTCTCTCAGCCTATCTGGAATTAAAGCAAATAGAAATCCAGTCCCATCCGTCACCCAGAAAAGGAACAGCTGCAAAGAGCTTGTTCTCACCAGGACACTCTGCTCCATCTTCCATTTGCCCTGCAGCTGCAATACCAAAAGAGCACGCTGTGCCAAAAATCTGAGAGCTGGTAGTGTGCATGCATGCAGGGCTTTTTGAACAATGAGTTGTTTTCTTGTAAAAACAATTTATTATATGCAAGTTCAAATAGTTCCAGTTATATTTGAATAATTTCATAGGCATCCCATGTAAGAGTGAAACGTATGGACACATTTTAGCAACATCAGTGATTTAAGACATTTTCATTGCTAAGGGGCTTTGTGGCCTTTTGATGGCCAATTTAGAGCCCTATTTAAATAATATCTGGGTATAGCATACCATTTTAAATATCTGGGTATATAATCCCAGAATCCACTCATTAAACTTAATCTGTGGTACCTTTTTCCTGGGCTCGGACTGAAAAAAATTGGATTCTTCTATCGCAGGGCTTTTCAACCTTTTCACCCATTGTACCACTTTTAGGATATGGCAACATCCGAGTACCACCAGTCGCCTAGCAAGGTGTCAAAAACTTGATGACCCAAAAAAAAAACGGGAAAAAGTGATAAAGTGCAGGTAGTCCTCGACTTACAACAGTTCGTTTAGTGACTGTTTGAAGTTACAGTGGCACTGAAAAAAGTGGCCCTCAAGCCACAGCCGAGCAAGACACCTGCCTGCCCGCCCGGCCGCGCTCTTCCTCCTGTCCGAGGTTTTCATTGTTGTGAGCATTTCTGTTGAGGATTGGCAGCGGGGATGGGGTGGGGGGGTGTTTGGTTTTTATTCCCCCCATCTGCTGGGTGGTTGCAGCAGGTTTTGGTCACTTCACATGACCCTGGGACACTGTGACCATCATAAATATGAATCAGTTGCCAAGCATTTGAATGTAAATCACAAGACCCTGGAGATGCTGCAACATTCCAGCTGATTGGCGCTTCTTCTCGGCTCAGTGGAAGCGCCAGGATCAGCGCCGAGCTCCAGCTAAAGCCTGGCGCTGATCCTGGCGCTTCCACTGAGTCCTGACAGCCCCAAAGAAGCACCAATCAGCTGGAAAGCGGCACTGATCCTGGCGCTTCCGCTGAGCCCTGACAGCCCTGCAGCTCCAGCCCTCTCTCGCTCAGGCTTGTGCGTTGCTGCCACCTGTTCAGCTCATTCCCATCCCCCGCTACCACTTTTCTAGGATTGTTGCGTACCACCTGCCAGGTGCCAATGTACCACAGGTGGTACCCGTACCACTGGTTGAAAAGCCCTGTTCTAGTGAATAGCAAAAAGTCAAGCTCACACTGATCTAAAGCATTTCTTCTAAATCATTTTCATAGTACACCTAGTTTTAATATGTTTTACTACAGGGTTTTGCCTCAGTAGTGTTGTGTTTATATGGATATATGTAAGATTTGTTATCCTATGCCAGTGATGGCGAACCTTTTAGAGACTGAGTGCCCAAACTGCAACCCAAAACCCACTTATGCATCGTCGAGTGCCGGGTGGGTGTGGCCCATTGCTGGGTGTGGCCAGTTGGGTGGGTGTGGCCCATTGGGTGGACGTGGCTGCAGTGGTAATGGCAGACTGGGTGGGACTGAAAAGTTCAATCAATCAATTCCAACTTTGCAAGAACTTTTTTTTCCCGCGAGAAGTTGAAATTGACTGACTGAACCTTTTTTTTTTTTTTGCACATGGCGGCGGAGGCCTAAAGCAAAAAGGTTTTATAAAATCCAGCTGAAGGCCTAGGACTGGGGCGACGATGTGCGTGCCCACAGAGAGGGCTCTGAGTGCCGCCTCTGGCACCCATGCCATAGGTTCGCCACCATTGTCCTATGCACAGCCTGGGAAAAAATTGTTCTGGTCTTCAAAACAGAATCTGGAGACACTTGTAATATAAAAAAAGAGCTTTGAACATTTTGTTGTTGCTTTTGCAGGGGAAAAGGATGCATTTATATGTATGCCAACAGGAGCAGGGAAATCCCTGTGTTTTCAGCTTCCAGCAGTTTTGGCAACAGGCATCACCATAGTGATTTCACCATTAATTTCGCTTATTCAGGTATCTTCTACAATTATGTGAAAAAAGAAATATGCTTTAAATAGAAAATATGTTTTAAAATCTGCCTTTTCTGAAGAGCTTGTTAGCTTAATTCAGATCAATAACCACAGGTTATTGTATAATTCAGTCTCATAAGTAAAAGCAATTGGAAGTTCTGGAATTAGCATTTTCTTTGGCCTTCAGGTATTACTACAGTGAGATTATATATGTAATTGTTCTGAATTATCTTTTTGTATCAAACTTTTGAGGTGTTTAGAAATTTCATGTAAATAAACATTCAAGGAATTCATTATTTCTAATCTTTGGTACCATGTCGGATGACACTCATTGTCATCTTTCTTTAATCAACTTGTTTGATTAAATAGAGGCAAATCAAATATTGTATGTAATTTCAACCATTTTAATTTAAAGGATACTCTTTTAAGGACCTAAAATTAAAAAAAATCTCACGTGTAGTAAATGTATTTGAAAATTCTAAATATAGTTAGATGATCATAAATGTCTTCATACTGCAGCAGTTTGCTGGTCAGATTCTTTCTGTAAAACTACCTTTCTCTTTTCTCGTAGGATCAAGTAGATCATTTGCTCTCTCTCAAAGTCAGAGTGAGCTCTTTTAATTCCAAGATGTCCGCTCAGGAGAGAAAAGCCATCCTTGCTGACTTGACAAGCGACCATCCTAAGATAAAACTGCTGTACATCACTCCAGAGATGGCAGCTTCTGCTTCTTTTCGGCCCTCCTTGGAGCGTCTAATGTCCCAAAAGCTTATCTCTTACCTGGTGGTTGATGAAGCTCACTGTGTTTCCCAGTGGGGGCATGACTTCCGCCCAGACTACCTGCATCTTGGCTCCTTGCGTTGTCGCATGCCCAATATACCATGCCTGGCCCTGACAGCCACAGCTACGAAGCAAGTTCAGGAAGATATTATAGCCCTGCTCAAGCTAAAGCAGCCCGTGGCTACTTTCAGGACACCTTGCTTCAGGCCCAATCTATTCTATGATGTGCAGTATAAAGACCTTATAGCAGATCCCTATGAAAATCTGAAGGATTTCTGTCTGAAGTCTCTTGGACAGCAAAATGAATTAGGGGTGAGTGAAATTGTTTGTTTTTTTTTTTAAAAAAAGGTTATTTGTGGTTTATTGGTCTGAGGTGACGTGCAACTAACATGATAAGACAAAATTTGGATTGAATCGTATTTCCTTTGCTACTTGTTTAGAAAGATGAACTCCCCTACGGAACATACATGACACAGCATATGCATCTATTGAGAGATAATTTTTCCAGATAAAAATTAGGAACTTAGTTGGGAAATATACATGGAGCTTCATGGATCATATCAATATTTAATTTAGGTTCAAAAGTATATAGTTCATTCAAAAGTATACTCGGGATTTATTTCTGAGTAGACGTGCGTAGGATAATTCTGTTGAAGTGGCTTTTTTCCTTTCCAAAAAAACAAATGATAGAGTAGTATTACAGAAAGAGTAATTATGTACAGGTAGTCATCGACTTACAACAGTTCATTTAGTAACCGTTCAGAGTTACAACAGCACAAAAAAGTGACAGGACCATTTTTCACACAATCCTTCCAGCATCCCCGTGATCATGTGATCAAAATTCAGATGCTTGGCAACTGGTTCATACTTATGACCGTTGCTGTGTCCCAAAGTCACGTGATCACCTCTTGCGACCTTTTGACAAGCAAAGTCAATGGGGAAGCCAGATTCACTTCACAACTGGGTTCCTAACTTATCAACTGCAGTGATTCACTTAACCAATTTTGCAAAATTTACTTAGCAACTGTCTCACTTAGCAACAGGAATTTTGGCTCAGTTGTGGTTGTAAGTCGAGGATTACCTCTATGTCCAGGAAGGGAAGCTGTGATTCTCTGAATTTTATTCAGTGCTAAATCTCAACAGCCCTCAGCATTGCCCACATTAACTTAAGCTATTGGAAGAGTTTATTTCGCAGCGTATGGAGAATCATAATCCCACTCTTGCGATATTACTTATAAATATGCATGAATAAAGGAGGGATATAAATAAATAAGTACATAGGTGATATGTATCCAAAAGCTTCAAAAGAAAGAATCCAAATTCTTCAGATTTAATTTAGCAAGTATGAACTGTTCAACAGCACATTTGAATTCTTGATTAGTTTAGCAGAGTCAGATCAGAGCAAAAGGACAGTACATGAAAATGTAGATTATGTAAATATATAGGAATATAAGATTATATAAACTTACATAAGTTTTGTAGAATCCTAGTTTATTGTGGAGTAAATATAACCTGTGTCACCACATGGGAAACAAGGTAAATACAATATTAATTTATTCTTTTTCCCATAAGATGACACAGGTTGTATAGTCTATTGGGTTTTTAAAAAAAAGAAAGCTATGGTTATTTTTTAAGAGTCAGTGAGGCATTGGGGTTACGCTGTTGATCCCAGGTTCATATCCAGGATCAGTCATAGACATTCTTGGGCCACTCACTGTTTCTTAACCCAGTATGCCTCACAGAAGACATCAGAGAAAAGGATGCTATGTATGTTATCTTGAGTTCCCAGAGGAAAAGCAGGATAGAAGTCTAATAATAGATACTAAAAAAATAAATACTAAATTAAAAAAAGTTGTGTTTTACAAGTTGGGCAGCCAAATAAATCTTTGAAATAAATAAACATCTAAAAAAAAATTTTTTGAAGTTACAACTTTCAGTTTCCTCTGCATATGTGTAAATTTATAGATCTGTAGTTCAAACTGCAAGATCAGTTTAAGGGCACATCACCTTTAGTCTGCAGTACTTTTGTCTGTTTATTTAAAATATTTGTATGCAGTAGTTGTCTCCAAGGACTAAGGATAAATACCATTTATTTAGTCTTGTTATAATTTTGAATGGTCACTGAATGAATCTTTAAATCTGTAGTTTAGAAAACATAGGTATTTCTAGAAACTCCTTCTGTCACATTTGGCATCACTGAAGGTTGCCAAACTTTCTATTAAAGTCAACATAAGAAGGAAAGAGGGAAGAATGGTTTATGTGAGGTAATAGAGAAGAAAGAATATTGCCATAGAGAACTGAGAATTGACCTTTTATAATCAGGAGTGGGAAACTATGGCCCTTTTATGACTTATGGACTTCGACTCCCAGAATTGCTGAGAGTTGGAAGTCCACAAATCATCAAGGGGCCATAGTTCTCCACCTCTGATCTATATGGATGGCTGGAGTCAGAGAACATAAATATTATCCACTGGTAGTCTTTTTGGGTTTGACTGTTCAGTGTACCAGATACTGTTCAGACTTTTGTATAAGTTCTGCTTCTATTTGGAAGAAGGAAAATCAAAAGATTCACAAGAAAATGAACATTTAAAGTCATATGTTGGCTTCCGTATAAAATATGTCAAGTATTAACCTTCTGGCACGCAAACCTATGGCACGTGTGCCAGAGGCGGCACTCAGAGCCCTCTCTGTGGGCACACATGCCATTGCCACAGCCTGGCCTCCCCCCACGACCCCCTCCTCACCAGCAGCCCCCCTGGAGGAGAGTCGCCCCCCCGAGTGTGGCCCACACGGAGCAGTGCAGCCAAGGACATGGCAGCCAGGCAGCGTAGACAAGACTCTGCCCTCACGCCCCATCCCGCACAGTTGATGCTGCGCGGCGCAGGCAGAGGGCATGGCCGCCATGGCGCTGCTGGGCTGCCTGGGTGATCTGCGGCTGCCTGGAGGCGGTGAGTGGCCCTGTGGGCAGGCGGAGTGGGGGACGGGGTGGGGCGGAGCAGGGGTGGGCCAGGGGGTAATCGGGAGCGGGGCCAGTTTTTGGGCACTTGGTCTCTAAAAGGTTCACCATCACTGCCCTAAGCTAAGTCTATGAAAACTTCTCTCTTAGTATATCTGTAGCTTAAGTGTTTATTGTTGCATTTCTATATGATGCTAATGTTAGCTTCCTTCTCTTTTCTTTTGTGCAGGGGTATCCTGGCTGTGGAATTATCTACTGCAGGATGAGAGATGCTTGTGAGCAAGTGTCAATTCAACTAAGCAATAGGGGAGTAAAAGCCAAGGCATATCATGCAGGTAATGAAAACTCTGTTTCTTTCCACTCCAAGCAATTATTAAGTGTGCAAAAAAAATGTTTCTTAGTCTTTATTCTGGGGTTAAAAAGGACGTCATAAAATGCAGAGACCACAAATTCTGATTCTTCTCTCCCTGCTTTTTAATTTTTTTTGGCAACATTCACACATCACATTTTCTGAGTAGAGACCTTCCCAAGACAAAGGTACTGCTCACTGCATTAAAATTAATAAATGAAGTTTTTAAAGGATTTTAACATCCATATGGTCCAGTCTTACTATCTGAGGTCTGCCTTTCTTCGTGGATGTTGGGAACTAAATCTTGATGATTCTAGCGTACAAGTCGTCTTCAACATATAACAGTTTGTATAATGACCAAAGTTGCAATGGCATTGAAAAAAGTGAGTTCTGACTGTTTTTAACACGTATTCACATTGTAGCAGCCCCATGGTCACTTGACCAAAATTCGGATGTTTGGTAGCTGGTTCGTATTTATAATGGTTGCAGTGTCCCAGGGTCATGTGATCACTTTTGCGACAGGCAATGTCTACGGAGAAGCCAGATTCACTGTTACTAATTTAACAACTGCTGTGATTCACTTAACAAATGTGGCAACAAAGGTCGTAAAATGGGGCAAAAGTCACTTAACAAATGTCTCACTTAGCAGCAGAAATTTTGGGATCAATTCTGGTCATAAGTCAAGGACTACCTATATCTTAAGGGGAGGGCAACAATTTGGGAGTGAGGACTGCCCTGGATAGGATAGTCATCTCTGCAAGGGACAGGCTCAAGATTTTCAAAATCTGTATTAACTGCCTCTAAAAGGGGTAAGATTAGGTGAGGTGCCCAAAGTGAGGTTTGAGCTTGGAGATTGATTGGAGATTTACCACTAGATTGAAGATCAGTTCTTTTTCATGTCAGGTTTATTGCCTTTCATTTTTACAGACGTTTAACCTTCAAATTGGCAAAATACACTAGAGTAAATACAAGCATAAAGGTTATTGACACCATTTTTAGTAGCATTGGGACATGAACGAATCAAACATTATCTCAAAGATTAAATGCTATGGAGCTTTAGACTAAAGTCCACAGCTTGTCAAGGAGCAATTAGATTGGAAAAGGTACTTGGGAACTTGCAAAAGATTTAAATATTTTTATCTTTCCTAGCAAAGAATTTTTCAAAGTTAAGTACAATATTTTCTCCATTTTTGCATAGCAGGTATTCTAAAGTCCCACCCCCTTCCCTTTCCATGCAAATCCAGGGAGACAAGCAGGTTGCGATCTACTATACTTGTGACTATATTTTCTTGGGGAAAAAAATAAAGGGTAAATCTGAAGAAGGTTCATAAAGATAAGAAAACGTAAATGTTTATATTTATACCTGCTTTACAAAGGAAGCTTCAAGAGCAAAACAAAAAACCCCTTTACAAATACATTTAAATTTAAATTTAAATCAAACAGTATATGTAAATTTATTTTAAAAAGATAATTCAGTCTCCTCATTTTTCACATGAATGTGAAAGACTGTACATTAAGTGGTACTATGTATAAAATAAAAGTTAAATGACCAAAATGAGTTTTTGAAAACTAAATAAATCTAAAATCATTGTAACTATACTGCAACTTCTATACTATAAAGGTGTTTGGAATAGTTTTACCTTACCAGTGATATGTCAGTATAGGAAAAATGGATAATTATTATTGAAGCTTTGTCTTTCGGATATGAAATTATTTATTACCTAATACAGTTGCTAAATTTTTTGTTGCCACAGCAAAAACAAGGTAACAACTGATGCATCTGAATATTGTTCTTTTTTTAGTTTTTTTGTGTAATTTTCTGGACATTGATCAAAATAAATGGGTGCTATAACCAAGCATTTTTGTAACTTAAAATATAATTAGAAGCTATGTTTAATATACATGATATTTTAAACAGGATTTTTTAATATAATAAAGAACACGTTCAAACCCAAGAGAAATTTAAAAAGTGTAATCCAGAAAATTTGGGAATTTAAATTTGAAATATTTTTTATCAGATATAATCTCAGAAAACATCAACAAGAAACATCATAATTTACTGAAATGTCTGCTGCTAGCAGTGAGAATAAATTTTGCTCAATACTAGAAGAAAGATCTGACAATATCTGATTGAGAAGTTAATCTTGGAGAATATCCAGTAATGCCAAAACTGTATATACACAATATAAGATGCTGTCCAACATGTATTTCATGACATATAAATGTAAGAAAAGATGAATAAATGGCTGGATAAAGACAAAATCTGCTGATATTATACTATTGTCCTTTGTTTTTTCTTTAAGGGCTGAAGCTGGTAGAGCGAACTTCAATTCAAAATGAATGGATGGAGGAAAAATTTCCAGTTATTGTTGCTACTATCAGTTTTGGAATGGGAGTCGACAAACCCAATGTCAGGTGCGTGCAAAATGATCAATGAGAAACTAAACAAACTGTTCGTGCTTTCAGTATCAGGAAATATATGTCTTTGTTTCTTTTTATTTAGGGACAGGAGGGAAAAAAAGGAATTGTAAACTGGCCTACATTTATTGTTGGCCTTTAATATGGGCGTATTTTTAAACTTTTAAATGAAGCTCATGTAAAGAGTTTTATTGGTTTACATCATGCAGATTTGTTGCACACTGGAATATTTCAAAATCGATGGCTGCATATTACCAAGAATCAGGAAGGGCAGGGAGAGATGGGGATCCATCAAGCTGTCGCCTTTATTACTCTCAAACTGATAGAGAACAAATCTGCTTTCTCATCAGGAAAGAAATTACTACGCTTCAGGTAGGGGCCTTGTGTGGTATGGCTTAAGTGATTTTTTTTCTTTGCCAAATCAGCTCATAATTAATAATCCTTCATTTACTCTGTACTATAGTTTACATTTCAATGCTCACAAAAGCAAGTTTAATTTTGTGTTTGAATAAAACAGGTAAGATACATCTTAATACGTATTTTACTGCTTCCACTTTGTGAAGGAGACATGTTATGTTTATGTTCGTTAATATGCAGACAGATTATTACTGGTAACTTGCAGGCTACATCAGAAATAAGGAAGCATTCTCAAACTTGTTGTTGACTCTTTTTATATACCTCTTCTATTCTACTCACACATAATACGTTGCAACCATAATGGGTTTTTTTGAGGTGCAAAATTTCCATATTGTACAGGCTCTGCCCCTTGATATCACTATTGTCCATATTCCCTCCAAAATCAGATTGTTGCCTTTTTTAGCAATGATCTCACCAGTTGTAATTTATTCCTTATTCTGCACTTGAATGTAGACAGCATCTTTCATCTTTCTTTAAGTTCTATCATTTTCTTCAATAAACTAGTCCTTCAGTCATTGCACAGAGTAGGGTCTAGGAGTTTGATGTTTTTTTACAACTTGGGCAAGTTCCCCATATTTTACTATATCTAAGATACACATGATCTCACACACTTAAAGGAGGTAAGGGCTTAATACCCTTTCCCCCCATTATAATGTTACATTCTGTTTTCTTATCTATTTTTCAGTTGTTCATACATACTCCCCAGTCATTTTGTGAATTTAACCTAGTTTACAAACATTTCCCATCAGTAATTATGCTGTTGACTTTTTGTCCAAATAGAATTATTTTGTAAGCTCACAAATAAAAATCAGAACCATCCAGCTTCTGTTTGCAGTCTGTATAATTGTTTCTACCATTCCATTTAAGTTGGCATAAGACAAGTACACTTGCCAATAATACTTTCAATTCATTTAAATACATCTTATGTACCGGCATCCAGGGAAATTCCATGTCCTTAATGGAGTTTTCAGAGTAGAACAAATTTTGCTAAATAATTAGCCATACCTAAAAATTGCTGAAGGTTTATTCTTTGGGTTTGGCATGATAACAATAGCTTCAGTCTTGATTTGAAACTTAATCAGTCTATATCAATTTTCAACTTTTGCCTATTTAACTTCAGATGTCTTTCCTCACACCATTCCAGAACCTTGTTCCTGTTTATCCTGATCCTATATCAATATATCTTCAATGAACAATACATTTTCTAAACCTTCTAGAATTTATAGCTCAGTACAGAGTTTCATATACTTCTGAAGCTGAAGAGATATCAAATGAATTGGTACCTTCCAAAAGGTACATTGACTATACACAACTTAGAATGTCTGTCATCTAACTGAATTTTCCAGAATTCATTGCTTGATTTGGGACAACAAACCTTTGGTCTCCCACTAAATTAGTTAGTCGCATAATCGCCCAACCTGGCAAGAATATGCTAAAAAAAATTATGGGGGCATTAATACCTCCCTTTTGTTTCCTTGTTAACATTCTTTTATGGTACACAGTGATTTTCAGATTTCTCAAGAACATTTACAGGTTCTGCTTATCAGACTACTTATCTTCAGATTAGAATGCATTAAAGACTTATGTTATTTCCTCCCTAGCAACATGCATAATGAAGCTGCCTGTGGTTTCTCATTCTTTTTGTTGGCTCTACTTCCCACACAATAAAGCTCAAATACTGCTTTGTTCCCATCTTCTTCAGGTTTTTTGTTCATTTCCCAAAAAGCATAACTGTAGGCAGTAGCTGGTCCAAGGCTACATGGTATTATCCATTTTTTTTTTCTGTTGATTTCTTACATATGTTTTATTCCTTAGCACAACAAACAGAAAATACACAGAAAGACAAATTCAAATATGGAGATGGGTTCTACCCTTGCAAAAGTAAAGAGCCACATGCACACACATCTGGCTCCTCTTATTTACTCACAAGTAATATGTTGCAATTGATAATAATACTGAGGAAAAAAATGTGAGAAGGCTTATTTGCTGCATTCTTATATGAAGGAGAGGTATACCCATAAAGATTATGGTTTCAAATTACTGCAGTACTTTTACAGGATTTAAATAAAATGCATGTTTGTTTGGAGCATCGTTACGCACCTAAAGCTAATGGGACATTATTGTGACTAAATGGTTTTCTGAATTCAATGCTTCAGGACATAGATTTATTTATTCAGTTTTATGTTTCCTCAGGAGAAACGAGGTTCCTTGAAGGAGTCTGATAAAGCTGTGATGAAAGCCTTTGAGGCCATGGTCGCCTTCTCTGAAAATCTTGTGTAAGTATGGATGGGTACTCAGATGGGTTGGTAAATGTCTATTGGCCTTTGGAGGCTCTTTTCTATGCTACAGATATATTTATAGATATAATGTGGTAATTTTATTATTTGATAAGTGTGTTCTTTCAGTTTTTTCTTCAGAAGATCCGTGGAAAATCTGCCTTCTATATTACCATTTTTGGGAACCTTCTCTTCTTTGAAAAAAGGTGTGAAGCCTAACAGCTTGAGGATGAAAAATTAAATAGGATGCTTCATGGTTACTGATATCCTTGTGTAAAATAGGAGCTGCGATATTCAGTAATTAGTGTAGAAATTGCAACCTGTGCAAAAATAGATTCTATATTTAAGATAAATTGTGCTGCTAGAGTCATGAGGAACTTACTTTTGCAGCAAGACAGTAATGTATAGGTGCTAAATATAGGAAAATATAGGTTTGTATGTAGTCTAGTGTGCCATTGCTGGATTTCTAGAGGGCATTTAATGTATTATAACACAGATAGATGCCAGACAATAATAGGGAGGACTGTAGCTCATGTGTGGGTAGCGAAGAGATTATTTTCTTACATAGTTTTGGTGGCTGTAATTGAAGGTTGAGGGCTGTAATAAAGAGGTTCAAAAGCTTTCTCTGGATTTGTACCTTCATTCAGCTGAAGAAACATCATGATCAGTGATATCAAATATTTAACAAATTGCAGTCATTTACAAAGCGCTAAATTGTTAACTTCATCCATATTACGGTAGAATAAGAATAAAAACTCAAGACTTTGTGTTTATATGGTTGTATTTGCACAGTTATTTTGGCAATTGTTTGAGCTTGCCATTGGTTTGTTCCAGGATTTCTTTTTCAACTTTCCGATCTAGCCTACAACTTCAAGTTTCAATAGAAGAGAATGTATGTAGCTTGAAGGTGAACTATGGAATCCTAGGTACTCTGTAAGCTTGCTTATTGGCTTGCAGATGTTTCATTACCAAATAGGTAAATCATCAGTGCTCAACAGTGGCACAGATGTCATTCCCTAGTTAGGTAATGACATGTTTGCAAGCAACAACCAAATTCAAAGACCCTCAAGAACTCCACAGCTTCCAATTTCCTGGTAGTTCTCCATCCAAATGCTGATCAAGTTTTACACTGTTTTGCTTTTTTCAAGATCAGCCCAAGTTGCCTAAATGATGGTAACTGTTGTGGTAGAATAAGGCTACAAGAAGATAATAAAATTTTGTTTACATTATTCTTGCATAATTCTCGTTGCTCATGGGTACTACAGTGTCATTTCGTATATTTATTTACCTGCATTCCAGTGTTGAATAAGAATTGTAAGATGAGCTGATCTATTCTGAAATAAATTTATTTTATTTTTTTTGTGGTGGGGGGTGTTGCTACCTAAACCTTGGAATAGTGGAGGTTTATTTGTAAAGCTATTGGAGTTTCATATATTTTGTATGTTTTCTTCCAGAGCTTAAGGTAGAATATGATTCTGTATTCACTTTACCTTTTTAAAGATAGGTTAAAATAAAAGTAGGAAATATAATATCTGGGCAACATTGCTCAATAGTCTGGGGCCAATTATATTTATTTATTTATTTATTTATTAATTTCATTTATACCCCGCCCTTCTCCTCATGGGACTCAGGGCGGCTAACAGCCTCATAAAAACTACAATACAAATACAATAATTAAAAGCCGAATTAAAAAGAAATATTTAAACAGGCCGATCATTAAAATTATCCTTAAAAATCCCCTAAAAAACCCCGCTAAAATTCCCTAGGCCAGACCCGCTTGTTGGAAAAGCCATGTCNTTTTGTAAGCTCAAAGACACAAATAAAAATCAGAACCATCCAGTTTCTGTTTGCAGTCTGTATAATTGTTTCTACCATTCCATTTAAGTTGACAAGTACACTTGCCAATAATACTTTCAATTCATTTAAATACATCTTATATACCGGCATCCAGGGAAATTCCATGTCCTTAATGGAGTTTTCAGAGTAGAACAAATTTTGCTAAATAATTAGCCATACCTAAAAATTGCTGAAGGTTTATTCTTTGGGTTTGGCATGCTAACAATAGCTTCAGTCTTGATTTGAAACTTAATCAGTCTATATCAATTTTCAGCTTTTGCCTATTTAACTTCAGATGTCTTTCCTCACACCATTCCAGAACCTTGTTCCTGTTTATCCTGATCCTATATCAATATATCTTCAATGAACAATACATTTTCTAAACCTTCTAGAATTTGTAGCTCAGTACAGAATTTCATATACTTCTGAAGCTGAAGAGATATCAAATGAATTGGTACCTTCCAAAAGGTATATTGACTATACACAACTTAGAATGTCTGTCATCTAACTGAATTTTCCAGAATTCATTGCTTGATTTGGGACAACAAACCTTTGGTCTCCCACTAAATTAGTTAGTCGCATAATCGCCCAACCTGGCAAGAATATGCTAAAAAAATTATGGGGGCATTAATACCTCCCTTTTGTTTCCTTGTTAACATTCTTTTATGGTACACAGTGATTTTCAGATTTCTCAAGAACATTTACAGGTTCTGCTTATCAGACTACTTATCTTCAGGTTAGAATGCATTAAAGACTTATGTTATTTCCTCCCTAGCAACATGCATAATGAAGCTGCCTGTGGTTTCTCATTCTTTTTGTTGGCTCTACTTCCCACACAATAAAGCTCAAATACTGCTTTGTTCCCATCTTCTCCAGGTTTTTTGTACATTTCCCAAAAAGCATAACTGTAGGCTACTGCTGGTTCATGGCTACATGGTATTATCCATTTTTTTCCTGTTGATTTCTTACATATGTTTTATTCCTTAGCACAACAAACATAGAAAATACACAGAAAGACAAATTCAAATATGGAGATGGGCTCTACCCTTGCAAAAGTAAAGAGCCACATGCACACACATCTGGCTCTTCTTATTTACTCACAAGTAATATGTTGCAATTGATAATAATACTGAGGAAAAAAATGTGAGAAGGCTTATTTGCTGCATTCTTATATGAAGGAGAGGTATACCCATAAAGATTATGGTTTCAAATTACTGCAGTACTTTTACAGGATTTAAATAAAATGCATGTTTGTTTGGAGCATCGTTATGCACCTAAAGCTAATGGGACATTATTGTGACTAAATGGTTTTCTGAATTCAATGCTTCAGGACATAGATTTATTTATTCAGTTTTATGTTTCCTCAGAAGAAACGAGGTTCCTTGAAGGAGTCTGATAAAGCTGTGATGAAAGACTTTGAGGCTATGGTCGCCTTCTCTGAAAATCTTGTGTAAGTATGGATGGGTACTCAGATGGGTTGGTAAATGTCTATTGGCCTTTGGAAGCTCTTTTCTATGCTACAGATATATTTATAGATATAACGTGGTAATTTTATTATTTGATAAGTGTGTTCTTTCAGTTTTTTCTTCAGAAGATCCGTGGAAAATCTGCCTTCTATATTACCATTTTTGGGAACCTTCTCTTCTTTGAAAAAAGGTGTGAAGCCTAACAGCTTGAGGATGAAAAATTAAATAGGATGCTTCATGGTTACTGATATCCTTGTGTAAAATAGGAACTGCGATATTCAGTAATTAGTGTAGAAATTGCAACCTGTGCAAAAATAGATTCTATATTTAAGATAAATTGTGCTGCTACAGTCATGAGGAACTTACTTTTGCAGCAAGACAGTAATGTATAGGTGCTAAATATAGGAAAATATAGGTTTGTATGTAGTCTAGTGTGCCATTGCTGGATTTCTAGAGGGCATTTAATGTATTATAACACAGATAGATGCCAGGCAATAATAGGGAGGACTGTAGCTCATGTGTGGCTAGCGAAGAGATTATTTTCTTACATAGTTTTGGTGGCTGTAATTGAAGGTTGAGGGCTGTAATAAAGAGGTTCAAAAGCTTTCTCTGGATTTGTACCTTCATTCAGCTGAAGAAACATGATCAGTGATATCAAATATTTAACAAATTGCAGTCATTTACAAAGCGCTAAGTTGTTAACTTCATCCATATTACGGTAGAATAAGAATAAAAACTCAAGACTTTGTGTTTATATGGTTGTATTTGCACAGTTATTTTGGCAATTGTTTGAGCTTGCCATTGGTTTGTTCCAGGATTTCTTTTTCAACTTTCCGATCTAGCCTACAAGTTCAAGTTTCAATAGAAGAGAATGTATGTAGCTTGAAGGTGAACTAGAATCCTAGGTACTCTGTAAGCTTGCTTATTGGCTTGCAGATGTTTCATTACCAAATAGGTAAATCATCAGTGCTCAACAGTGGCACAAATGTCATTCCCTAGTTAGGTAATGATATGTTTGCAAGCAACAACCAAATTCAAAGACCCTCAAGAACTCCACAGCTTCCAATTTCCTGGTAGTTCTCCATCCAAATGCTGACCAAGTTTTACACTGTTTTGCTTTTTTCAAGATCAGCCCAAGTTGCCTAAATAATGGTAACTGTTGTGGTAGAATAAGGCTACAAGAAGATAATAAAATTTTGTTTACATTATTCTTGCATAATTCTCGTTGCTCATGGGTACTACAGTGTCATTTCGTATATTTATTTACCTGCATTCCAGTGTTGAATAAGAATTGTAAGATGAGCTGATCTATTCTGAAATAAATTTATTTTATTTTTTTTGTGGTGGGGGGTGTTGCTACCTAAACCTTGGAATAGTGGAGGTTTATTTGTAAAGCTATTGGAGTTTCATATATTTTGTATGTTTTCTTCCAGAGCTTAAGGTAGAATATGATTCTGTATTCACTTTACCTTTTTAAAGATAGGTTAAAATAAAAGTAGGAAATATAATATCTGGGCAACATTGCTCAATAGTCTGGGGCCAATTATAGACTTGATATCCCTGGTTTTAGTTAGGTGTTATGCTTGCTCTGCTTCAAAGGAATAGATTTTTCATAAACACGTAGAAAAGACAATTGAAAAAGATTTTTCATATACTGTACATGTAGAAAAAACAGTATAAAGCAAATTGTCCTTCAGGGACTTGGACTGACCCTTAGCTAAGTACTTTTCA